TTATTACTTTATAGTAACCATTTAAGGAACGAATGAAGTTTCTGTTACAAAATATTGCTATTTAAAAGTTAAAATTACTTTTAGGTAAAAATTAAAGTAGCTGTTTAGTATACTTAACTAATTTAAAGTTATCACCACTTTGGTAATGGTTTTTGGAACCAAAAATGCTGCTTTTAGATTCCACAGAAGACTTCAAAGCTTTCAGAGAATTCACGACTGTACCTTTGAACTTGTTAAACAAGTCTTGTTTAGTCATCATATTAGTAATAGTTATACTGGCTCGTAGAATTATATCTTTCCAGGCACGGTGGTCAAAACTTAAGTATAGGACGAACAAAAATGCCAACCAAAACTGATAGCATATTTTGATTATAGACCCTTTTGGTAAAACTAACATGTATTTATCAAAATCCCAGCTGATCGTATTTTAAAGTTTTGCAAACTATTTGTTTTTCTATTTCTATATATTATTTTGCAATTATTGTACTAAAACTACCTGTACAATTTTAATAAAATTAAGCAAAATAATAAACTTTGTATCATTTAAATTACTTTACTCCCCAGTATTAATTTATTGAGTCACCTATTATTTTTTACCACTCAAAACAAAACATAACAAAAAACACGAAGATTTATATCTTAAATATTTTTTATAACAAAAAATATAATAACAACTTGCAAATTTTGTAAAACAATAATTAAGGTGGTTGTGAAAAAAATTGCTGTAGGTACGTTATAACGCAAGTGACATTTTGCTTTAGTTGTTTATTTAATGTATACTTTATAAAGTTAAAAATAGTATTTTAAAATGAAAATTAAACCGAAATTCAAGCTACGCCATGAAGAAAATCGAAAGAAGGTATGTGCTGGCTGTTGAGACAAAATTGTTTTTGGTAATCGAAAAATTCAGAGTTTAGGGTTTCTGACAAAATATAAAAAATTACTCCAGACTTTTTCAAACGAACACTTTAACTTAAATTATCTACTTCAATATGGTAAAAACGGTAAATTGCCAAATTTTCAAAATTTAGAAATTGCTAGAGAATTTCGCGGCAGCCAAGAATGTATGTGCTTTATCTGCAAAATGGCAAGATATAAAGGGCATAAAAAAATATTAAGGGAAGAGGACGGACGAACGAACTAAAGTTTTGATATGCTTTTCCTTTCTAGGGGATATCGCTAGATGTAAGAAGCATGTTTGTACAGAGACTGAAGAATTTAAAAATACTGTTTCCATGTTAAGAACAATTCCATGTAAAACCCAAGAAAAAGTTTAAGGCAAGCAGTAATCGATTTTGCTTCAAAGAATCTTTAGTTATTTATTAGTTTGGTATTAGGTACCTTAAAACAATAAATAAGATATTGCAAACTGTATTTTACATTATTTTGTATTTATAATGTAATTTATCCATATTTCAGTCATGTATCTGCCAAATTTTTAAAAACATTTGATAATGGTACTAGAGTATTTTATTGAAATGGCATAAACAATTTTAAAATACTAAGAAATATGCAAAACTTTAATAAAGGATCAGCTGGGATTTTGATAAATACATTTTTGTGTTACCAAAAGAGTCTATAATCAGATTATGCTATCAGTTTTGGTTGGCATTTTTGTTCGTCCTATACTTTAGTTTTGACCACCGCGGTGGTCAAAACTAAAGTATAGGACGAACAAAAATGCACCGTGCAGAATATCAAGTCAAAACTGAGTATAAATTGCTGTTTGTAGTCAAGAACATCTTTTTGTTGAACGTCTTCGCAAATTTCAATTAATTCATTTAGTATAAATTTGTAACCGTCGCACACTGGAGTGTGGATGCCTATCGAAGGGACAAAAAGGAAAAAACATACATTGTTAATTATGTTAGAAATCTAATGCAAAAATAAACTAAAGACATTGCTTAAACTAGCGCAAGCAAAACTAGTAGGCTGTCACTTAAAACGAGCGGTGACAGCATGTCAAAGATATCAGTGTTGATTGAACGCTTTGCTGTCATACTTACTCTAAATTTATTTTGAAAATTTCACAGCCATTTCAGGAAAAGCGAAGTGTGAACTTTTCCAGTTTTTTGGCAAAAATATATTTAGGTAAGCCATTAGATTCTTACCGTAATGGCACATACTAATTTAATATGTCTATTGATTTTATATAGAGCGTTGTTTGTCAGTATCGCAAATTAGAAGTTTTCTTTTAATTTTTGCTTATTTTGGCAGAGGTTATAGTTGTGTTCCGGGCGTTTCCGAAATGAATAGTTCATCACAGAATAATGTCCAATCATCGTTTATTATGAAACCGTAAAAAAAAATTGCTAATATTTGCTATTCCGTAAATCCCTGAATATAATGTTAAATGCAGTTAACACGTCATTTTTGCACAATACCAATGTATTAAATTATTTTGGTCAGCATAATTCAATAAGTATTGATTCAATTTTGATGAAATTTGGCAGGCGACTTACGTACAACAACAGAAAGACTTGATTAGTTTTTTTTTAAACCCCAACATGGCAGATCAAAATGGCGGCCACTTTAATTTTTGATTGGCTATAATTCATGAACTGTTATCCCGATGTCAATAAAAATCTATTAGGTAGGTTTGTTAACTTAAAGAAATATTTTTCACAAATTCAAAAAATTCAATATGGCGGAACAAAATGTCTGTTTTGATAACCCAAAGAGTAAGATCGATTAACTAATAATCTTAGCTTTATCAACTCTGTCAAAATAAAACAATGGGTTTTAAAAAAAAATTGATTTCTGTATTTTTTCCCGCAATTATTTATTTAATTTTCACCGTTTTAGTAAATAAAATATGCAATTCAGTATTGTCAAGTGTGCAAAATTTCAACATTATTATAAAATAATACTGCAAAAAAATGTTTAACTACCTACTTGGTATGTTTTGTTATTTTTCTTGAAGCTATACTGGATAAGTGGTAAAATTTTTTATAAACCTGAAAAAATGAAACACCCTGTATATATTTCCATAATTTTAAGTTAATAATTATTGTCAACATATTTCCAGGATATTAAAGCCTATTAATTGTCGGAATTCCGACTTAAAGCTCTCAACCTATTTTGAAAATGAAACGCCCTGTATATATTTCCATAATTTTAAGGTAATATCTATTGTCAACATATTTCCAGGATAGTAAAGCCTATTCCGACTTAAAACTCTCAACCTATTTTAAAAATAAATTTTGTCCCTTCATGGTGTCCAAATACCCCAGTGTGCGTCGGAAAGAGCTTTAACAACATCTTCGCGATATGACCAACGAGTAACACTCAAATTTTTAAGAGCATAAAACCGTTGAGTTAAGGAATTTTTCAATTAAAATATGGTTAAGTTGTTGATTGCTACTTTTATTAAAATGTGTATATTTTCCAAAAAAAATCATTTTTTCTTAAAATAGTATATTATGTCATAAGGAGTAGAAGTGACTCTTTTTGTGGTGAGTACAGAGATTGACGGCCGAAGCGTAGCTGAGGCTGGCAACTGTACGAAGCACAAAAAGAGCTTCTACTCCAAATAACATATACAATTTTTTTTTCAAGGGCGTAATATAAATAGGATAAGAAATAGAATTATTTTATCTACTCATAACTCATGTGGTATAAAATTTTGGCTAAAAGCATTAGAAAATATTGATAAAAACTAAAAAAACTTATAACCCTTACTTACAATTCCGATAAATATCCTAAACTAAAAATAAACACTGCTCTGTCAAAATGCTGCGCTTGAATTAATTTTGACGTACTGACATTTGTTTGGAGTTCCGACATTGGCGACTCGTCTATCATCATAATATTATACTAATAAACTAGTTGTTCTTTATTTCGTTCAATTAAAATTTAATAAATAATTCCTAAATATTCCGTGCGATTATAATTAATATAATTAATACATCGTGATTGCTTTGTATGATATGCTAAATTAATTTTAATATTTGACGTCTATTGGGACACCTATGGATTTACTTCTATCCCTAGGCTTTTTTGTCTGCCGCTAATGAAAAAGACGCACTTCAACTATCTCTATACAGGCATATAAGGTTGTATATCATGGCCGCTTGAAAAAAATAGTAGATTATGTTATAAGGAGTAGAAGTGACTCTTTTTATGGTGAGTACATAGATTGACGGCCGAAGCGTAGCTGAGGCAGGCAACTGTACGAAGCACAAAAAGAGCTTCTACTCCAAATAACATACAATTTTTTTTTCAAGGGCATAATATAAATAGGATAAGCAATAGAATTATTTTATTTACTCATAACTCGTGTGGGATAAAATTTTGGCTAAAAGCATTAGAAATTATTGATAAAAACTAAAAAAACTAATAAACCTTACTTACAATGCCGATAAATATCCGAAACTAAAACTAAACACTGCTCTGTCAAAATGCTGCGCTTGAATTAATTTTGACGTACTGACATTTGTTTGAAGTTTCGACATTGGCGACTCGTCTATCATCATAATATTATACTAATAAACTAGTTGTTCTTTATTTCGTTCAATTAAAATTTAATAAATAATTCCTAAATATTCCGTGCGATTATAATTAATATAATTAATACATCGTGATTGCTTTGTATGATATGCTAAATTAATTTTAATATTTGACGTCTATTGGGACACCTATGGATTTACTTCTATCCCTAGGCTTTTTTGAGTTTTTTGTCTGCCGCTAATGAAAAAGACGCACTTCAACTATCTCTATACAGGCATATAAGGTTGTATATCATGGCCGCTTGAAAAAAAGACTATTTATTTAATGCCTGGTAAAAAACGGAAAAAAACAAATTTGTTCCCCAATTTTTTCGGTTTGTTTCCGACTCTCTAAAACCCTAGACGTGACCATGTCAGCTGGGTAAATAATGTACAAATTTCTAAAGTATTATTTATTATCTAACTAAATAGATCTATAATCTATAGATTTTGTAATTGTGTACTCTATTTAAAAAAGCAAAACAAAACACTTACCGAAATATACGAGTATATATAAGTGTGATCCAGAGTCGGGAATCTTTATCGAGCAATTCATTTGCCGAGTTAACTTACTGACAAATACAAGTTTTTAATGATGAACGCAATGATGAATGGAGTGGTCGTTTTTCTTATGGTAGTGGTTGTTGCCAAGGCTCAAGTACCACTTCCGGGATCGTGTCCTGATGTCCAAACCCAGCCCGACTTTGATTTAAATCAGGTACCGTTAGAATTAATAATGCTTATAAATAATTTATATATATACAATGTATATTATACATATATACCGTACGGTATATGGGTCATTCCACAATTTTTTTTTTGTGGTGTGACCTCTGCAGATTGTTTTCTTAATTTTTTTAGAGTTATTCTTTACAATAAAACAATGACTCACTAAAAATTTAAGGTCGTAATATTAAATAATTTCGTAGTAATGATTTTTCGAACTTTTTTTTGGATGTAAATAATTTTTTATAAAAACAGAAACACTGTTTTTATGTAAAAAGCTAAGAAGCGTTTTAATGAAAATATCCACAAAAGACTTAAAAATTCAATTAAAGTAAAAAATGCCACTTTTCTGGCCATGCTGCAATTAACATTATAAATTCGATATTTTTTTCTAGAAGCTTAAATTTTTTACTTAAAATATTTAGTTTTCACGATGATTTCTTTTTTTTAATAAAATTAAAAAATAAAGTAATGGTAAGTCATTATTTTTAATTTTAAATAATTGAGGTTATGCAACTGTTAGTTTAAGATCAATGTTGTCTTATTTTTTGAAAATATTATATTAAACGTATTTTTTGTTTAAACTTTTTAGTTTATGTCACAAAAAGATACATACATATATTAAATTATTTTCAGAAAATAAGACGAGATTAGTGTTAAACTGACAGAAACATAACCTCAATTATGACCTACAATAATTATTACTTATATATTTAATATTTAAACAAAAAATAACCCCATCTTGAAAATCACATATTTTTTGTAAAAAAATCTCAGTTGTCAGAAAAAAATTACATTTGAAATAAAAATTGCTTCAGGGCTTGAAAAACCGCTTTAAGTGATCTTTTAATAAAAAATAAATATTTTCATTAAAAAGCATTTTTATTCTAAAAAACAATACTACTGTTTGTATATTTACGAAACATTATTTACATCAAAAACACATTGACGTCAATATTTGAAATATCATTACTAGGAAAGTACTTAACATTAAGAACTCAAATCTTGATGTAGCCCCATATACAGTGTGTCCCCGTATAGGTAAAACGACTCTTGGAAATTCTTTAATTTAGGAAAAAAAGAAAAGAAAATGTGAGAGATCAAAGTTGGCCTAGGATTTTGAAATTTGGGATACATTTTGGGATAGATTGGATTTTAAGCAACTTCTTTAAACAACGTCGTGTCTAATACCAAAAAGCTTATATCTTAACAAAATAAATGAAAAATAATGGCTGGTCGAGGATTTTCAAATTTGGTTATGAGCCCAGATGTTGATTCCAAACAATTTTTATTTATAACTTATCGGCAACATGAAAGGCACTTTACTCCATAGAAAAATATTTTTTTTAACTTTCCAAGACATGACTTGATTTCTCAAAAAAAAAATTATGTTGTAAATGAGTCTTTCACCAACCAGGGCTAAACCCCAAAAATTTAAATTTAAATTGAGGTCATTTTAACTTTTCCAACAGTCGTTTCAGCTATCTGTGTAATATATTATATAATATAATATAATCTAATATATTTAGGTATATAAAGACATTTTACCTAACAAAATCCTAAATACCTGTTTGTTTGTTTCAATAGCATTGATTGATACTACTCCTTCACTCAACGTTCAATAATATACATAATCAGGAAAAAACTCATTAAATTTATATCTGAAATATTTTTATTTTAAATATTTTAGCTGCAGGTGCAGGTGCCATGGTGACTTTTTTCCCAATCATATGGTATTTAACATTAACGAAATAAGTACCTATTTAGTAATTTTTTAGTTCAAATGTCTTTTTACGTCCTTTCTTTATCGACCTGACATTTATGGAGGATTCATAATACCTATAACATGTTTTTCCATTTTTTCTTAATATTTTTTTTAGTTTTTAGGATTATGGTTTGAGTCTGAACGTTATTTTGCCGGGCCCGAAGTTTTAGGAAAATGTGTGACCGCGGAATATAGTCTTGGAGATAATGGGACCGTATCTATCCTTAATAGTCAAATAAATAAAATGTACTATTCAAAAAACAATTATATTTTTTAATAACTTAATTAATTTAATTATTTTAGCACTGGCACTCCTACAAGCATAGCAGGTTATGGTACAGCTTCAAAGGATGATCCGGCCAAATTGTCTATCGTCTTTCCATCTTTACCAGGTAATTATTTTTATCTACAAGCGTTCTATAATTTAAACTTACTACTAAAGTACTAAGCTGTATTAATAATTTAGACCAATAGGGTAAAGTTTTTACCTCCTATAGTCTGTACAAAATTTGCTCGGACCTATATAAAAATTTTACTAATGTCAGATATACCTAACCTCTCACCTTCTACTTTTAATAATTATTATTTTAATAATTATAATAATAATTATTGTATGTTTTATGTATCGTTTAACAAATAAAATTGTGCCCTGAATATTAAACATTGTATGCCATTCGGCCGAGAAGTCTCTTTTGGTGCTTCGATCAATTGTAGGAATATTTTTCGAGTCGGCATTCAAACTTTAAGCTCGGCACAAAAAAATCACTTCTCAGCCTTATGACATAAATAACTATTGTTTCTAGAATAATATTTAATTCATTAATTATTTTTAGTGAAAATCCAAGCCCCCTACTGGATATTGGATACGGATTATAAAAATTATGTTGTTGTATGGTCTTGCAATGACTTTTTGTTATTTAACACAAGTAAAAACTCTAATAACTACGTTGTTATTTTAATATAATATGGTTTTTATTATTTTAGGAAGTGCCTGGATTTTAACAAGATCCAATAATCCGACCAAAGCAATTTTACAAAAGGCTTACTCCGCACTGGAAAAAAATGGTATTAGCACGGAATTATTGATTAAAACTGATCAAACAAATTGTCCCTCAAATTAATTCAGTCAGTATTTTTAAATTTATTCCTTAGGTTAACACTGTTTTAGCATAATGTATAAAGAATGTGAAACTGTGAACCCAGTGAATAAGTAAAAATAAAATAATTTAAAAACATTCAAATTGTTTTTTTTGTCTAGACCCAAAAATACTCTTTATAGGTGACTAAAAATAATTAACCATGTTTCCCTGATAGCATCTACGTAAATAAGGTAAAAAAGTCTTGTTTACCTATGGGATTTGGATAGCCGCGGTATTTAAACTTGTGTACCTACTCTCTGAAAATTAATTAGTCAAACATGACTAATTGTCAAAGCGAAAAAGCAGCCACTAAAAATTCTCGTCAACAGCAATTAGTATCCCAGACATTTAGCCATCAATCTCTATGTAAATTGTCCGCTGGATCCGAAAATGTCAAAAGTTATAAACGTAGAATAGTTTTTAAGATATAGTCAATTTTCTTTGTATTATGAAATTGACTATATCTCAAAAACCGCTCTACTTTTATAATTTTTTAGGGTATTTTTAAATTAAGGGGACAATTTGACAATTGACTGCTAAATGTCCGGGATACAAATTTCTGTAGAGTACAGTTATTAGTCAATATGAAATCTAGTAATTTTTGACTAATTCAATTTTAAAGAGTAGGCACGTGGTTGTAAAACACGTTTTATTTTTTATTCGGAAATTATTTTTTTTACTCCCACCTTTAAAACGCCCTTTATTGTACATGTTTCCATGACACTAAGTGACCTTTTAAATACACATTGACAAGTTGTGGCTTTATGGCGCTTTAGTCACGGGCTGAAGTTAGCAACAGGTTTTTAGTCACGGGCTAAAGTTAGTTTTAAGCTAGTTGACAGTTGTCAAATGTCATACAATCGTTAAAATAAAGTGCCTTTCTTGTAAAATAATACTTAATGTGAAAATTATTTTATTATCTCAATACAAAAATACAAAAGTATTAAATAGTTTCTAAACGCCAATATTTGAAAAGTTTATATGAACATTGTACTGACCTTTTAATTTCGCCGGCAGTAAACTATAACTTAAATTCGGACACGGACTCCACTGTAAGGTGCTCATAAAACATTTTCTTTACTTTCACTGTGAAAAACCGTCAATTTTCAAGAAATACATTTCGATTTATAACCTTTATAATCTGCGTTTAAAAAATTTAAAAATTTGACATTTGACGGTGACACACAGATTTCCCTATTGTTTCATAGATGGCCCTCTATACAAATTTTTGATTTAAATCATTTTAAGATAATTATAAGTATTTGTCGTAGAAAAAGTATAGTATGCACCTTATTTACAAACTTTTCTATACACTCATTGCCTAAACACAGTGCCTAAATTAAATTCGTGTATAAAATGGCGTTTATCAAACTTGATACATAATATACTATTATCTACTCCTACATTGAAGAGCTATGTGATTTATCAATGCTGTGACTTTAAGCCATATAACTTTATGGCGTTTTAGTCACGGGCTGAAGTTTGAAACAAAGGCTTTTAAGCTTTTTAGACACTGGCTTAAGTTGACTTTAATATAAATTGGGAAAAGTGAGGTTAAATTCGGGTGACAGTGGGGGATGTCAAATTGTGTTAGTAGTAGATAAAGTACCTATAGTATGCAACTGGTTTATAAACTTCTTTACAAACTCGTTTTTATTAAACAGTCGCTTGCAAGCTTCGCTTGTGCCTAATTAAACTCGTAACTAAAATAGAGTTTATAAAACATAATACATAATATAAAGTGCGTATATAAACAAAACAAAATTCTGTTTTAATTTATTAATAGTAATTAATAATTAATAATAATTATTTAATATTGACCTGGCCCATTATGCCTATCATGATTAAATGGAAAATCGCCAATGACAATTTTTTGCCTTGGCAAATATTGATTTAAAAATTTGAAATTCAGCACAAATGTTATGTGCATAAAAAAAATGATTTTACTTCTAGACATGAAGACAAATTATAATTTTGCTGGGAATACCTATAGGTAATATTTTTCTTTATTCCCAGCAAAATCGTGACGACGCAAAATATCGCAGGTTAAAGATGATAAAAAACAGTTTTTCTCTATTATCTCAAAATTTATTTGGTGCACCGGTTTACACTTATATATGAGTATTACGGTAAGTGTTTTTTTAAATTTATAAGTATAAAGGTAAACAATGACAATTAAAACCTATTGATTTTATTTGTTTAATAATAAATATACTTAATGCAATGAATTTGTATAAAATAGAAATAATGTATACATTATTTCGGTTATATAAGTATTTCGGTAAGTGTTTTTTTTTTAAATTTATAAGTATAAAGGTAAACAATGACAAAACATATAGATTTTATTTGTTTAATTAGTTTGATAATAAATACTTGATGCAATGAATTTGTATACATTATTTCGGTTTTTTTCCAAAACTGGTTAAACTTTTTCGGCTTTCTTAATGATAACTTCGGTCAGTTGTTCGACTTTTTCAGGGACCTTCACGTTTATTTCTTGATCCTGTTTTTTTTGCTCGATTCCTGTGGATTTTGGTTACCATGGAAATCGGGGCAGAATTAATATCGAAGGCGGCGAAAACGCAACCTTCTAGATCGGTTTTAAAATACGGGTACTGGGGAAAGACGTTTGGTCATCAACCAGATTCAGGGGACAATTTTACATAATAATAAGCTGTTAAATGTCCGGGATACAAATTGCTGTGGACTACAGTTATTACAGGGCCTTTCCATCTCAAATCGACCAGGCAAAAAGGGGTTTCTCTATATATACAGGGTAAGCCAAAAATCCCTTATTTTTAATAAAGCAAAAGCGTAAATTCATGATTTTGGCATAACACGCAAAAAAGATTTATCCCCATTTTTTTTTAGATATTTCTACGTTTAGCAGGTTACAAAATGGCATTCTTATTAACCTTTTCTATAAAAAAATTTTTTTTAATAAAATTAAATAAAATAACGCTTAAAGAATATTTAAAATGTTGTTTAATTTAGGCTTTTTAGTAGTTTTCAATTTTGAACGAAAAACTGGTTAAAGTTTTTTGATCGGCACTCTTTGGAGATTTAAAAACGATATTTAAATTTGGTAAGAAATCAATTTTTTTATTATTTACACCTTTGCCAGAGTAGGGGAAACAGGGGGAATGCCGCTCAGTTAAGAAAAAAACTCGGTATTTTTAAAAAACGTTAGTTTATTTTAAATGTACGAACAAATAACAACAGTTTAACTCTTTGGTAATCAAGATTTTAATACAGAAAGTAATTATATTTCACTTACAAATAGTAGGAAAACTTAAAAAAAAAACAGGATTGAGCGTCATTGCCCCTGGGTAATGGGTAATACCGCTCAGGCAAAGGGGTAATGACGCTTAAATCTAAGATATCCATTTTAATTAACAAATACTAAAGAGATCAACCTTAAATAACTAAAACAGTCTTAGGGCCGGTTTATTCACCTCTTGTTAAGTTTATCTGACTGATAATTTCCTTGAATACCATTAAGTGCTAAAAATCTTGACTTACCGATAAAATAGTTTAGCTAAAAATTAGATGACAGCCGCCACAAACAAATAAACTCACCTCACTTTCTCGGCTGTGCAAGTGGACTGATGTTATGTAGCTTGCCCACTTAGGCGTCATACCCCTTACGACTTAGCCATCGGCCGTGTTTCTATGCACCGTATTTATCAAGTAACTGGGGTGAGCGGCATTACCCGGTGAGCGCCATTACCCCTGCTTCCCCTACACATTTGTACACCGATATTTATTGATTGCAGTTTCTTGTTCGGGACCCTTTGGTAACTTTAAAATGATATTTAGCAAAATCCTAGCTGCTTCTCTTTTCGAAATTTTTTGAAAATTCTTAATTTTTATTTTTAGTTTTTGTTTATCTTACAGTGTATACACATTTCGATTTTTATAATATTGCAGTATATTGTTAACGGGACTTGGAGAATACTGTTTTCATACTGAGCACATCATTAAATTTATACAGGGTCAGAAATCACTTTTATATATAGTAAGCAAAAGCATAATGCACAAAAAATGTTGTTTTATTTAATTTTATTCAAAATCAATTTTTCTTACAAAGTCTTAATAAGAAACCCATTTTGTAGCTTGATAAAAAATATCTAAAAAAACATAGGTGGGTATCACAGACAAAATAGACTTGCCTTAGGGAGAAAATTTTACGGCCGGGCGGGTGCCTGAACGGGTGCCTGTTTTCCAGTTCGCATCATTCATATTTGAGCAGTTGACCTGTGAGGATATATTATTTATGTAAAATTCTTTGAACATTATGGGTCAATGTGTGTCCTAGTCGTAGTGAAACTATTTCCAGCCAATTTCAACCAATTTCCTTTTTCCAGTAAGTAGTAATTACGAGATAAATTTTAAGCGATTTTAATAATTTTGCATGTCAATACCTTGCGTGCGCACACAGATGTTGTGTTGTTCTCTTCTGTGCACAGAGCCGTACTTCGTTCATTCTGGAGCGTAAAACTAGATGAATTTCTTTGATAATCCACTAGGAATATTTTAAATTTGATACCGCTCGTAAGAAATTATTTAATACGGGCCTGGCAGAATACATATCTTCTCTTATATAATATATAATATAATGTATACATTCCCTTGCCCCCCTTCCCCGATTTATGGCACGCTGGTTTCATGTTAGCGATACTGAACAGGGCAAGTCTATTTTGTCTGTGGTGGGTATATATCTTTTTTGCGTGTTATGCCAAAATCATGAAGTTACGCTTTTGATTTATTAAAAGAAGCGTTTTTTG